GCACTCCAGTCTGGGCGACAGAGTGAGACTCCAACTCAAAAAAATAAAAAAATTTAAAAATTAAAAAAATAAAAAATAGAATTAAAGGGGCACTGGGGATACTGTGTGGATTGGGAAGCAGGCAGAAGCTGAGAACCCTGCTGAAAGATCTGTGCAACAATCCTCCAAACCAAACAACAAAACAAAACCACTCAGCAGGAAAAGCCCCAGAGAGCACCTTTACCTTTTCCTGGGGCAATGAGGAGTGTGAGCCTTTCACATGCTCCCTGTCCTCACTAACAGCATTTCTACCACATCAGGCTCCTGAGGTTTTACTCCAGCCAGACTGAGGTAAGCTCTCAGCCCAAACCAAAACTCTCCTGCCAAATCCACCACCACAGGAAGAGAGAATAACCAAAGACAAAAGGCAAGATGATTCACAAACTCTCCCCGAACCTAGAAGTCCTTGCTTCCTCCCTCACTAACAACAAATCAGTCACCAGTGAAGGTACCCACTTAGCCCAGGGAAGGTCCTGTTTCTGAACTGGCCAAATCTCACACTGCAGGGTCACGTAGGCCAACCACAGCAAGAACTGCTTCCTCCTGCCTCAGCTGCAACCTTGGGCGTGGGGACTGAGAGGGCAGCTCAGGGGAGACTAGAAAAGACATTTCCAAAACAACCATGTGGCCAGCCCAGTGAAGTGGATCTGAAACTCAGACCAGGGGCCATGCTGTAAGCCACCTAATTTCTGCTTATAAATCATCACTGAACTTTTTATCCACCCTGACTCAGAAAGGAAGGGCAGAGTGTTTGGTGGAAGGGTGAAAGGAGAAGCTAGCTTATAGGAAGTCTTCACTTTGCTTCAAGGGGAAACCAAGGTTGCAGATACACGATCTGGCAGCTGGAAAGGGTACCTGGGGGCTGGTATCTCTATGACAGGCTTACCATGGCCACATGCTCTTGTTTTTTAGTAAAGACAGCAGGTACTAACAGCAGCTAATATTAAGTGCTTGTTACTGAGTTAGAAGCTTGCATGCATGATCTCATGACAACCTTAGAGGGTGGGTAATATAAACTCCATTTTACAGATGGGGAAACAGGGGCTCAGAGGTGAAGTGACTGCCCAGAGGTTATACAATTAATGCACAGTGAAGCTGAGATTCAAACCAGGTCTGTTGGCTCCAGACGCAGAGTTCTTAACCACAATGTATAATTATGGAAGACAACCACAAAGAATGGGGAAAGTGGGGTTCATGCAGCACAGGGTGGATGTGCATGTGTGCAAGGAATCACAGTGCAGCTAGAGACCAAGGGTGGGAAAACTTCCAATACAAATATGTGATCCTGGTAAAGTGATCAACATCCACTCCTTCATTCAGAAGATGGAGATACTGTGTGGGCCAATCCTGGATCCCTGGGGATATGAAGTGGTAAAAAACCCATGGAGGCAAACATGATCCGTCACCTGAAAGCACTCTGAACTCTCTCTTGAAAAACAGGGCGAGGCGCAGTGGCTCAAGCCTGTAATCTCAGAACTTTGGGAGGCCGAGGCAAGAAGATTGCCTGAGTCTAGGGGTTTGAGACCAGCCTGGGCAACTTGGTGAGAACTCATGTCTACAATTAAAAACAAAAATTAGATGGGCGTGGTGGTGTGTGCCTGTAGTTCCAGTTACTTGTAAGGCTGAGGTGTAAGGATCACCTAAGCCCAGCAGGTCAAGGCTGCGGTGGCCATGAGTGAGCCAAAGCACTCCTGCCTGGGTGACAGAGTGAGACTCCAACTCAGAAAGAAAGAAAGAAAAATAACAAGGTACTGCAGCTGTTCCTGATGTGGAACAGGCCAAAGGGATGTTCTGGGTGGTTGCGGGGGTGGAGGGGTGGGGTGGGGGAGGCAGAGGCTTGGCCGACTCTGGAGACCAGGGAACTGAAGGAAGAACAAGAAGCTCTGGAGAAACTAAGGAAGGTGATGGAGAAGGAACAGAGGCTTGACAGGCCCATATGTCTGAGGGGGCCCATGGCTGAGGGGAGGCAAAAGGGGACCTGAGATTAGAGAGAGAAAGAGGTGACCCTAGAGGGACCTGAAGGGGACGGAGGGGATGACTAGGAAATGTATAGTATTGTGTGCATAGCCAAATGACACAAGAAATCTAGAAGTTATCAGGAAGGGATAACAGAGGGTCTGAAAGAACTGGGGGGATTGGCAAGAGATGGTCCAGGGACAGGTGAGCAGGAGGGATCTCTCCAAGGAGCCTGGGGGCAAGGTTCTGTGAGGGCAGAGAGGGTGGGGGCCATGGAAGGACATAAAGGGTGGTGTTCCTGCCAGCGACCAGGAAAGACAGGCGCCAGGGAGGACCAGAGAGGATGAGGTGGCTGGGAGGGTGGAGGGGTCCAGCGCAGACAGCGTGCTCAAATAGACAAGGGAGGATGGGGAGGCTGGGAGGGGCGGCGGAGGCTGGACGAGATGCACGGGGAGCCTGGAGAGACCTGCGGGCAGATCCGAGAGGGGCGGGGAGGATGAGAGCCAGGGAGGCGCAGGGAGGGGAGGGTGCCCGGCGTGGCACCAGAGGGGATGGAAGGCCCAGCAGGGGCTGGGAAGGTGGGGAAAGTGACAGCCGCCGCGAACTCACTCGAAGACGAAGAAGAGGCCGGTGGTGGTGAGGATGAGCAGCAGCGTGAGCGCGAAGACGCCGCCGTGGCCGGCCAGCATGAGGCGGCCGCCGCAGTAGAAGCGGTTGCGGCCCGGGAACACCTCCCACTTGCGCCGCG